ACTGTCACGTTTGTAATTGACAACAGTCATGCAGAGCAACGTGCAATTCGTAATGAGTTCCTTGCCTGCTCCATCATATTATGTGCATTTCATGTCATCCGGACCTTCAGTAACAAAGTAAGCTACATTACCAATGACCTAACGTCCTTAAGTTCCGTGATCCTAATTGTAAAAAGATGTTTAAAGAGATGGCGTACACAACGAGTAACGGCAAGTAATTAAGTGATTGTGTTGACGTATCTCTAGGTTCAGTGAGCTAATGAATTTATTGCAGTTTGAGTACCCTACAGCCATGTCGTACATGAATGACAACTTATAGATTTGTCGTGATATGTGGGCATCCTGTTATATGAAAGACGTTGTCACTCTTGGCAACAGAACGAATAACAGAGTTGAGTGCTGCCATAAACACCTGAAGACACATCTAAGGAAGTGCTTCCCCTTAGAATTGAGCATTCGTGAGATATGGAAGTGTTCCGTAGAGTCATCGAGAAGAAAGGCTATAGAAGGAAATCTCAACCTCCATTACTACATTCATCTTAACGTAAGTCCATTAGTTGTAACTTGAAATTTTTTAGGTGGACGAAGGCCTTTCCAGCATTTTGAGGCAGCTTACAAGCTTTGCCGCCTACTCACTCTACAAAAGCATCAGGAGGGATCCGGAAATGAAGGTCACCGATTACGCAGAAGCATACTTAATATTCGAAGAAGGTGAAAGGTACTTCGTTGTGGACAAACATGACTGCAGCTTCACATGCTTTCAAAGCAAAAATATGCTTTTGCCATGCCGTCATCTTCTTCATACCAAATTTCATTTATATACACGTCTAGGTAAGTTCATATGGGCCTACAGTTATCTTGTAAAAGATGTATTTAGACATAGTACTAGGTGGTTACGATCTTACAACCACACTATCATTCAATCGCAATCGACAACAGCGGTGGATATGGAGATGCTCATACAAGGAATAATATATCAAATCAGAAACCTTCAACAGACACATCCTAGGATATGTAGAAGTGCGTTTCTTTACGTCTGCAATTATCTGCTTGGAGCTGGTGGACAGGTGGATGATCAGGCATCTACATCGCCAGACTCGGACTGATCTATGTACATATTTTTAAAGATAATTGTAAATTAATTTTCTTATAAAAAACTCTTGTTCACTCTAAATTACGGAAATTGTTGTTGAAACGTTTAAACGATTAGATTTTAACGTACTAGCCTTGTGTGACTATGAATCCAAAGTCCGTTAATAGGTTCCTACTAAGACGAAATATAACTCGAAGCGCTTATAATCTCAATGTCTTCTTTTAACTGTGGACGTAGTAAATTCATTACGTTGAGACATAATCGTTTCATCAATAAGCCTCTCCGAATATCTAGTTTTACTTGGCATTTCTAAGACAGCCTCATATACTACGTACCTCACGACTTATGCAAAGGCTAGAAATCAGTATTATCAAGCACAATAAATAAACGAATAACGAGAAATACATTTATTAATGAATTAACATGTAATACAAAATCGACAACAGTGCAGGCATCTTTTTCTTTATCATCCAAATCCATGAAATTCCCGAGGGTAGATATTATCTGAAAAACAACATAAGAGTTATACAGATGCAGACATTGTTATCAGTGTTAACACCATAATTAACCATTAAATATGTTTAAAATGACAAAATAATTATTTGAACTGTATATAATTATGTTACTCAACATTTTTCAATAATACAATATCGATATTGAATCTGCCTGCAAGCATCAAGTTTATACCATGAAATAAGGAAATACTATGGGTATTTAATTTTTAAGTATTTCTGCAGATTTTTTTTAAAGAAATACATGTGAAGGAGCCTAGTCAGCATTCAGGCAAAGTACACAACAAAGTAAATGAAATCATTACCAAAACTAGCTATCCCACCTCATCATGTCCATGTGTAATCCATTAAAGTGCAAAATAAATTCACAAAAAGTCGTTATAATGTGTGTCTTCAAGTAATTAGACATTTTCTGAACGGAAAAAGTATGTATTTTCAGTAAACTGTAAGCTACGTCCGGATAAGGACACCATCATATGCTCTTTCTGCTAAATAGGCCGCATTTCATTAACTTTTAGCAGGAATATAAATAAAAAGTGTGTAAAACAACCAAAAATGACCTAACCTTGACGTTTTTCAATACCTAATGCCAATATCCATCAGCTAATCAAATGACCAGAAGTTTACCGAATATCAAGAACCTATACCCTACAATCAAGAAGCGAGCGCAAAGAGATCAAATTGGTTTATACTAGCTCGTAAAAACGATATTGGATATTGGACCTACGGCCGTCTACAGGCTGCCATTTTTCATGACTCAACAGAAAATTCTTCCCGCACTACGAGGTACAACTCAACAAGACAAAGTAGTCCTCAAACCGAGAAACACTAGTTTAAAAGCTATGAGTTTCAAGAACATGTAATGTTGTAATTGAATGTTTAATTTTGGATGCTCTTGGACACGGACGTGCCTCTTACAAATGTGAATGAATGACCTTGATCTGATCAAAAAAGTTAGTTTGTTCGTTGATAGTTTCATCATGAGAGTAGTAGCACTAGCATGTCACAGTTCTCCATTCCTTTGCCTTCGCATCTTGATGAATTAATTTTATCAATAATAATATTGCATTTATCCAAGCTAGCACTTTCTTCGGACGCATTGCAGAACATGGGACAGTTATCTGCATGCAGTTTGCCCGAAAGTTCTGCAATATGCCCGGAGTCTTCCCTAAAGTTACTGCATGTGCCCGACGTCAATTTTAGTTGGAATAGTTCACAGGTCAAAAGTGTTTCAAAACTGACATTGCACCCACTTAAATTTGGGACAGACTTCGGGCGCACTGCAGAATGCCCCTATTGGGGTAGGCTTAGGGGCCTTGTCCCACGTGCTTCAATGCTCCCGAAAAAAATGCTAGCTAGGCTCTTCTGCTGTTATTAAATGTATATCCTGTTTCGAGGGCTTTAGAAAAATGAGAAATATAAAGAAGCATGATGTTCACTACTAAAAGTAATTGGGGAGGAATATAATTCTTGAATTACCTGAACAATTTTGACTGCATGAGACGTCAACAGTATTTAGATTTATAGAACCTCGTTTTTTAGTGCTAAGCTTTTATGTCTCTCTGCTCCACTTTTATGTATTTGATTCTGTTCCAGGGCAGTCAATTCATACTCAGAAATATTATGAGAGGGTTATTTTGCACAAGGGTTGCTTATTATTCGCAGCTTTGTCATTTATTTAGGATTTCCTTTTTATTGAGTTGGTCTTGTAAGAATCCATCAGCTGACTCCAAGCAAAGTTTAGCATAATGTTCATATAGTTCATACGAACCAAAATACACGTATAATGAGGTGAAATTTGGAAGTCTCGAAACAGTTCCTCTTACCACACTCGATAGATGTAACTAACGATTGTTGCATCATGACGGAGAGATACCTTCTTCGCTGAACTGAATTTATAAAGTAGGAAACATTTGCAGCAGCTTAAGTTGCCACACATAACAGCACAAATAAGATAGTGGAAAGAAGTTTAATATACAATGAATGCAAATACGTGGGACAAAGAATAATTACATGAAAACTAATGCGGATTTAATGAATCTGAAAGAAGACAAGGTGTGAACACATCTTCATTAAGTACAGTTTTGAGCTGTGCTACCATTAGTTCCTAGCCATTGGTTCTTTATGTCTTGAAAGCCCCAGGTAGACAGTATGAACTTCTCCCCATAACTCAAACTAAAAGTTTAAGTCTTTATGGCCTAGTAGCATGTTTTCGTCTTACCACCCCTAAATCTTTCCCGACCTTACGGTATATCAGCTAACGTTGCTTTCCAAGGAAACCGGTGACTCCCTATGCATAACGCATGTCATGGCTGTATTAATTGGTGCATCTTCACAACCTTATCGGTACAATCTCTCACTTGACAGTACTCTTAACCAGATTATTACTGATCAAACCATACTACCCGACATGGGAGATTAAGCGCAGACACCTATGGGTAAAAATGGTTACTGCCTGACGGGATTCAGCGTTGAATTTTGTACAGATATGCAGCAGTTCAAGTTGTCACACTCCATGTAGCGCACAAAGCAAGAGAAGAGAATAAAGAGAGATTCGAAAGGGAGATAATAAACAGAGATATGAGGCGAAAAGAATACTATTATGAAAAAACAATATAATTTTATTAGATATTATAAATCACAAAGAGTGAATGCATCTGCGCCATTGAGAAAGATTTTGAGCTACATCATCAGTTGACTCCAGCCACTGCTTTTTATCATTCCAGGGACCCAAACCAGGAAGTCTACACTTCGTGAAGTGGCTTAAACTAATTGTTGTGGATTTCACTGACTGCTGAAGTCATCTTTTAGTTCAAGAATAGGACTTTTGCACTGTAGTAGGGTATAATTCCATTGTAGGTAAAATTTATTTTGATAAATTCTCACAGTATTATGCAGTAATATTTACTGCTGTTTTGAGCATGATTTATTGCTCAAACATATCAAGTTGGTTTGACCACAACTACCTCTTATCCAACCTAATCATATCTCAACTAACATTGCCCGTCAAAAAAGGCGATCGCTAGGCATGCGTAACCGATAGCTGCCTCCTCGACATGGTAGTCGGGCTAACATATCGTAATGACCCAACAAGCTTCACTGGCTAGGACTAATGTTTCTGCAGGTCTTACCATGCCAGGAAGGTTGTTAGGATAGCGATTAGACTAAAAGCAGTTACCGGTATGGTGTAAGGTTTTTATACACTATTCTAGGGGTCTGTGTGCGAGGTCGTACTGCTGGAGAACAGGGATATAAAATCAGTAGGATTTTGGCCTCAGATGACCAGCATGCCAACTATGCTGTCTCCCCATTCTGGAGAGGGGGGGTTAGAAGAGGTCGACCCCAAAAAATTGTACATCCCTACTTACTCTACGGTGGTCCGTAACCGGCGGTAAATTTACTAATACAGAACCAATCCAATAAACCAGTTCATACAGGCCGTGTGTGACCGGCCAGCATCAAGCAGTTGTCCCATGGGCTCTGCGTTCACTCAGGTTCCACAGGAATAGATCATCTTCCTTGGTGTGAACAGTCGGAAAGTAACAACCGCCCACATACTTCCTAAAGCATACGAAGTTCTCCTGATCATCCTCCTTTATCCCTGTCACCCTCATCATCTTGCTTCCTTACTACTGTCGGTACTATTCTGCAGAATAATCAGTCATCTTCATTTCATTTTATGACCACAATTAACGATGACAGCTAGTGAAACACTCCTGGCAAAATGGTTAACCTCTTCATATCTTCCAATGACTATAGAGTAGAATGGAGCAAACTGCTGAGCAGTGCATACGTTATTTGGTGGTTGTCCGGATGTCACGCCGGTTCCAAAGATCACTTAAGCTGGCAAATGTCAGGTGAGCCTTTTTTTTACTTCAACAATCAATCCACTAGGGTTGTTGCAATTCCCAAAATGAGTGAAGTCATTGTACTCAACCATTTCACCAACAGTCCGTACAGACGAGTCCTTAAACATCACCTTAGATGTGACGGCAGCAAAGTCCATGCTAAATATTTTGAGATTTCTGTTTAGGAAGACTACTTCGTCTTTCACACCTCCTGGTATTATGTAGGCGCCTGAGATGTTAAAGTTAATCTGAGTCGCACATCTTTGTGCATCTAAAAGAAAATTATACAGAAATGTTGAAAGCATACGCCTAGTTGTTTTTCCCATTTTATATGGCAGCTGTCAATAATCGCTTACATGGCTTCGTGTGTCCGACTGGTTTGTTGATTAGTACAGCCTACACTCTTGGTACTTCTTTCACGACCAGACACTGTCAAAATATCCATCAATTAAGGGAATCAAATGCCCCTTCGGATCAAGAAATATGTCAACTGTCCACCTTTCATGAAAAAAGAATATTAACACATAGAATTATATGCTAAGTCAGTATTTCGGCCACAAAAATATACAGTATGTTTGGTGAAGCAGCACCCAGACGGTTGTACTATACTTATTAGCTTCTGAAGCCGTTTAAAATCCTAAGATATTCTGATTATCTGAAAGTAAATGGATGCCACATTCATATTACTTTGTTGTGAAAGCAACCTATTCGCCTTATGTATTTGATAACAGTGTGACAGAGATGCACGGCATCTGTTCTATGCAAGTTAATGGCACTGTCTGACTGCTCAGAATATAGTAGGTGGAATAAGATTCAAATCTATGGAATGGAAGTTCACAGTCGAGCCTTCAGACTACTAAGCGACAGTGTCGCCAATGAAAAATTTCAAGACTTCCACGCTTATCAAACATAAAGTTATTCTTAAATGGTTGAAGAAACTTTGAACTAATGTACATCGCGATGACGAGTCACCTAGATTGATGATCATACTGCACATATGACATATGGAAATCAATCAGCATTTAAGAATAGGTACATGATGATTTTAGGAATTTACCTGTTGCCAGGGAATGTTTACATATTCCTCCTAGGGAAAGACGCTGATAAAATGCAGAGTCTTCGGAACACTTTGAACATTAATCTTCGAATGTTTGACAAGCAATCTGCCCCTATCATATGTAAGTTGATGCTACCGGACTGGATTACACGGACACCTAGCTTAAAGATAAGGAGTGGAGTTATGGGACGTTTTCAGAAGTTGCATCAGCCCCAGTGGACTTATTACTGACGAAGTCTCGGCACGGATACAAAAAGATCGTGTGACATTTGCCAGCTTACGCCATCGCCGGCGTAGATGTGATATCCGCCTATCGATAAGACGATGCGTGTACTGTGCAATAGTACACCGATTCAAATGGCTAAGAAATGTGTTACATATGCTTAGCCATCGCCTTCCTCGATGCGAAATGTTAGTTGACATAGGATGTATCAGGTAGTGGTGGTCAAACGAGAACTTGAAATCAGTCTATGAGATCTTTGGAAGTTAGTTTGACTCATGTAGGAAGGTGTAGGCTTCTTGGTTAAGGTCTTTGGGGTTCTCTAAACCAATGGCTAGAGACTGTTGGTCATATTGCTCAACATCACTCCCAGTGGTAGTGATGCATTCACCCCGTCTCACCTATATCCATTAAACCCTAATGCTTCTCCGTGTTATTATTCTTTCACCCTCATATTTCTGCTTACTATGGTTCTTTTAAATCTCTTTTCTTCTCTTTTTTTGGCTTCTTTTAAGTGTTATATGGAGTGTGACAAGTTGAAGTGCTGGACTTCTGCGCAAAGTTCTATGTTGAAACCAGTCAGTCACTAGGTACATGGCATCATTTACTATCTGATGACTAATCAGTATGAAATTATCCTCGACGATTAATCTACATTTTCCAGTTTAAGACTAAGTACTTTGATGTAATTTTCATTTTGTTCACACATAAGCATGTTTTATGTTCCTGTGTCAAACAAAATTGTGAAGCATTGTAGAAATGCTTATTTTCTTTTTAATAACCATCTCTGCTTTTCTCCACTACAGGATCAATATGTGGCCATTGAATAGTTGCAGGTGTTTACAAAGCCGTATTACTGATGAGTATTAGACGCAAGTATAAAGGTCATAAAAGTCCAGGAAAAAAACACGTAGTACATACATCTATAGAGCAAACTACAATCGTTTTAAAGTTCTTGAGAAGATATAAACCCTCAGAGTTAGTCTGTAAGACAACAATAGATAGCGGTTCAAGCTCTGCAATGCATTGGCTTGAACACTTAGCTTAGCACTTAGCTGGATATCACGTCTACGCCAGAGACGTGACATGGCATCCGTCAACAGAATCCACAACAGTTAGTTTAAGCTAGCCACGTAGGAAGGTCGGGATCCTCGGAATGGTAAAAAGCAATGGCTGGAGTCAATTGATGATATGACTCAAAATCGTTCCCAATGGCACAGATGCATTCACTCCTTGTGACTTAAAATTGCCAATAAAACCATATTGTTTTTCGATATTACTACTCTTTTTGCCTCATATCTCTGTTTGCTGTCTCTATTTTGCGTTTCTTTTTACTTTCTTCCCTGGCTTTATGTGCTGAGTGAAATGTGGCGACTCGAACTGCTGCACATCGGTGCAGAGTTCTATGTTGAAACCAGTTAGCCAGTTAGCTTGTAGGATTAGTTTAATTGGTTCAAATGTTGACCCATCTTCTTTAGACTGGTCAAGTATATACTATCATAAAATTGCCACAAGTGGAACACACCTCTTAGCTCACTACTTAACCTTCTTTCATTTACTTGTTCTCGATAAGATGTTGAAGTTTTTGTGTAATGTAGCTCAAAGACATTCGTAGTAATTCGTGATAGTGTATCATTCCTCTAAAGTTTGATCATGGATTGATATCAGTTAGAGAACCATTGCAAACCAATAAGTACTGGGCAGCTGTTTCGTCCTATTTTGGGACTCACTGGCAGTGAGCAACCACCAGGCTTAGAACTCTGGTACTTACGGCTACAAGGTGAACTCGATGAGTACGCACTGCCGATTGGTCTCAAACTAGGGCGTAACAGCTGTCAACTATTCCCTGGTTTGTCTCTGGTTCTCCAACTGATGTCAATCCACGGAATATACACATTGGATCACAGGAGTTATTAAGAAGACAGTTGCAAGGAAGAAAATTTTCTTTTCGATGAAGTCATCATCTAGGCTGTACATTCGTGTATTTATATCAAATGGATGGGAAAGTTCCAGAATAATTTCCGGTTAAGGGTCAAATTAATAAAAATTAAAATTAGGAATTAGAATGCCATAATAAACAGGGGGATGGATAAAACAAAGTAGCATCATAATAACTAAGAAGATTGACATTGTGCAGTTAGGGGTTAGAAATGTAGAAATAACAAAATGGACAGGATGTTTGGATAAAAAACTAATGTGATGAATAATTGTTTATGCAATCAGAGATTAAATATGTAGAAATAGTAAAATGACAAAATAAACACGAAGTTAGGGTATGAAAGTATGGTAGTGTAAACAGGGATTAAGAAAAACTTTAGAAAATAACATGAATAAACAGGAAGTTTAGATAAGAAAGGCGATAGGATGGTCATTACTAAAAAATTACTTGTTTATGATGGCCATGGCATGGACAGGGGTTGGATGTATTTCTTTTGGATACAAAGCGCGGATTTGAGCTTTTGGATAGCTAGCGCTTCGGCTATGCCCAGATGTCTTGGTTTCACTCCCTTTGATAGGTTTGGTTGAATCTTGTATATTACTTTGAAGGATTTTTCTTATTTGGTTACCCGTAGCTAGCTTTGCAATCTATAATGCACGACTCTCAATTGGGATATCATTTAACACTCATTGGGGGTGCAGTTCCACTCGGATGACGAGTTCTAGGTAGGATGAAACGCGCATCCGTTAGTTTCAGCCACGTAGGAAAGTGTAGACCGCCTAGTTTGGTTCTTAGGGATACTAAGAACCAATATTAGTAGAGATCTTTTGTGATATTGCTCAAAGTCGTTCTCTGTGGTACAGATGCGTTCACTTTTGGTGATCTCCCATATCCATTAAACTCTATTGTTCATCCATGTTACTATTCTCTCTCCCTTACATTTCTAGTTATTGTTCTTTCGAATCTAATTCTTTTTCTTTTTTCTTTGTGTGCTACCTGAAATGTGACAAATTGAACTTGTTCACCAGTCAGTTGCGGCAATTATTGCTTCCATTGTGGGTAAAATTTATTTTGATAAAGTTTCACAGTGTTGTTATGCAGTAATATTGACTGATGACCACCTTTCGAGCACAATCTATTGCTGCTCATAATCATATCAAGGCAGGCACACAACTTTCTAATTTTGTTTACATAATTCCATCATTTAACATCGTTTGACTTGATTGGTAGTAGTATTTTCCATATTTCCTGTATGAGTGATGAGTCACTCCTATTGCACGTGTTGGTTAATCAACCCCACTCTCCACCTACCTATAATACTTCTTAGAACTTTGACTCTGTTCCAACCTATTGTGTGGTTGTGTGTTAACACATGAAATGCAATTGCTCAGCCTTTTTCTAAATTATTTATCTTCGCAGGTGGGGTCAATCATTCTAATCTTAGCTAAATTCTAATGTTACGACAATATGACTACCCCCGACCCACTAGTTTGACCTATGTAGCTGACTTAACTCACAGTTGTTGCAAGGCATTTTATAAATTATATTATTTTGTGTGATTGGGTCAACTGAGTCCTTTAACCTACAGAGCTTGTCTTACCTGAGTGAGTTTGTAGGTTTAAATGCCAGTCTAATTCCTGCTTTATTAAGAATCCTACATGTGGGGTCGTAGATGTCCTCTCCTTATATGGTAGGTGGAGAGAGAGAGAGGTTGATTGCTGAATCCTTGTTCATAGAGTCTATTGCACCCAGCACGTGCAATAGGAATTACTCATCACTCATACCGGAAATATGGAAAATACTACTACTAATCAAGTCAAACGATGTTAAATGATGGAATTATATAAACAAAATTAGAAAGTTGTGTGCCTGCCTTGATATGATTATGAGCAGTAATAAATTGTGCTCGAAAGGTGATCATCAGTAAATATTACTCTGTATTATAAGAACACTGTGAGACTTTATCAAAATAAATTTTACGCACAGCAGAATTATACTCTGCCACAGTGCACAAGTTCTATTGCTGTGTCAATTATTGCTTGCCACATACCCACCTCATTCTCTTTTTTGCTTAGCGAAGTAAAGGATTGTATCGGCCAGGGATCGAACCCCGGACCACATGGGGCTTAGCCGGCGAGCACTCCTATGCTGTGCCACTGACGCACAAAAAATCTCTAGTACACTTATTAATTCACTACCAATAGCTGTTTTTTGTGTAATGTTATAAATTCTTATAAATTTTCATATTTATATATTTTTTTTAGAATAGTGTGTGGATTTATGCAAACACTGAGCTTGACACAACGTCTTCACATTCTCAAAGCATTACATGCCTGCTTTATTCTTACTCTTTTATGCACGGGAATTGTTGGACTTGTCCTATTCAGTGCAATTGTCAGCCAACCGATAAGAAATTGTCCTGTACTACATGCAATATACACTGTCTTTTGGTTATCACTTGGATTGTCTATCTTACAAGTTCTTCTAGCCATTATCTTCTTCTTATGGTTTCTTTTCACATTTCTTCTTTTCCCTGTAAAATCATCAGCTATTAATGATTTGACTACAGGACAGTGTACTACACTTCAAGTTGACCCTCAATCAATCAATCCATTGGATAATAATCCATTCAGTTATTGTACAGCAGCTGTTGATATTCATTGTGGTCAGACTGCTGCTTTTGGACCTTTCAATTTTTCACATTCATATTGTGATAGTGAAGATACACTGGATACTTCTTCAAGTAGATGTTATGATTGTTGTCAATTTAAAATTGGATGGCTTTGTTTCGGGTCTATTTTTTTGGCAATTTTATCAATTGGTTTAATTCTAAGCATGATATTAGTAGGCAATTTTCTCAATCAAATGGATACCATTTTCAATTCAGAAATGGCTAGCATATTTGTTGAAGCTCGAGTGAGTTATTTCAACTTAAAAACACATAATAATAATAATAATGCATTCATATGTTGGGAAGTAATACAAAAAACATTTCAATGTTGTGGACAAGTGAATTACACCGATTGGAGTTCATTTGATCAAAAGGCGTTGTTACAAAATGAGAATTTTTCTTTACCAGCATCATGTTATTCTACACCTACATCTATACCTACAAGGAATACTTCATTCGAAGGAGGAGGAGTAGTAGCTACTCGTCAGATTTATACTTCAGGTTGTTCAAATCTTGTCATAAAATCATTATATTTACAATTAACTGCATCAAGAGTTTACCTAATTGTAACATTCATCCTGCTGGTGACAACTTTTCTTATTGACTTTGGTTATACTTTATATGTGGCGCATATAACTCTTGTTGAAAATCCTATTGTAGTCGATGGAGATTGTAGTCATCTTGATGTATGGCAGCATAGGGGTGTAACCCCCGGAGGCGGAGTGAATGCAGCCAATACAACAACAATAACAACAATAACACGAAAATTCTCTACACCTAATTTTATAAATAATCACAATGATATTGAATCTATATCATCCAGCAGTAATTCAAGTTCATTGATGTTTCAAAATTCAGCATATCAACGACATAATAGTCGATAAATGACACACTATCTGATCTGATTTGATCTTTAATAGTGGGAACCAATTTTTTAAATGCTTGAAAGAAAAAAAGTTGAATTCTAGTCATTTTGGGATAATTGTAAAGTGTGTATATTCTGGTGTGTGTGTATGTGTGTATCAACATGCCTCCCTTCTTGATTTTGTGCATATGACAAAAACTGCTTTCATCATCATCATCATGTCTTACTTTGTTTGTTTGTTTTATCATGTCATATGTTGTCTTTACCTCGCGTATAAATTGCCTTTTTCGGGGGTTTTTCATCACTCGCTAATTTCTTTCTTATGTCTTTTTAAAAATGCATTTCACTACCTGTATTAAACACAGGACATTAAAAACACAATCAAATGAACCAATTACTACTACATATCAGGCAGTAATAATTTTTGCTTTATTCTGTGTTTTTATTTATTTATTTATATTGTCTTTCATAATTTTAATCTGTGTACAGCCAAGTGCACTTCAATACTTACACTTTTTAATACATATTTAGTAGCATTTGCTTTTAGTATAGTTGGCTAGTTAGTTAGTTTGGTTTTTCCAACTAAACTGAATTGTTTTTGTACCGCTTTTAACCGTGTATCACTTTTCTGTCGAGCTGAGTTTTCGATTCGCGAAAAAAACACACACACACAACTTCTATCTATCTGTAAAATTACCTTGATTGCATAGTATCTCCAAAGAAAATGATAATGGTGGACGGCGGGATAAACGCTGAAGAGAGACCGTTGAGTGACATCGCAGCCTACATCCTTGTGTAGAACACGAATGGAAAACGATGAGTTGGGCGTCCGTGTGTGTGTGTGAGGAGGAGGACTTTAGGAAAACGGAGTTGGATGGAGATGTTGTATTGAAGCTTTTCTATGTTCCACTTGGAACCTAGGGGAATAATTATAGACGTATATATGTGTATGCAATGAATTTGTGTTCTTCTTTTCATGCTACAGATTTCTTACAAATATTTAATAATGTGATCTTTATTGATATTATTATTATTATTGTTTTCTCTTAAATTGATAGTTTTTGTAATGTAATCAAATACATGTACGTAACTTGTTGTAAGTGTTACTTTTGAAAGTTGGATGAAAAGTGTCTATTATGGGTGAAATTAGTTGCATAAATTATTCATGACGGTCTTAGGATTAGCTGAGTAAGTTGAGCTTGAGTTATTCTGTTATGTTACTGAACGATATCGATCTGAATACTTCGGTGGGGTAGGGAATTCCTTGTTCTAAGTTTAAAGGTTTGTATTGTTTGTAGCAGCCATCTAGACTGATTCCGGCGAGCTTTGATTATGATGAGGAGCGAAAGCTACTCAGATGCAAACTGACAAGAAGCCTTCGTAACGACTGTTAACAGTGGTTGGCGACAAAAGCAAAGGAGATGGAAAAGGCATCGGTGATTGGTAACACCAGACAACTATTTAGACTTATCAGGGAAACAGATGGTAAAAGGCAAACGAACAGAAGGAACAATATGTAGACTATACCATTGGAAACCTACATTAACTGGATATTATACTACTTAGTTTCATGCCTCTACCATAGAAACGTAATTTAGTTAGATATCTGGTTCATTGGGCTGGAGTTATTTGTTCAAATGAAACAGTCCACGAAGAACTCAGTAATATTCGTGATCTGCTAAATAGAAACGGAATTCTGACAGAATTTTTGATAAAAAAAACACATGAACTCAGCAAGCAAACAGCTGAAGGTATTCATAGTTCCCAAAAATCAGTCTTCCTAAAATTAGAATTCACAGAAGATGTTACCACAACGTCTGAGAAGGGCTTTTAAAAGGAAATGTAATGAGGCTAAGTTATACTGTGTATTCACTAGCCAACCAGTACTCAATTCACGAAATAAAGGCAGACTACCCTGTTTCGCCTCTTTCATGTGTATTTACTAGTTTAACTGGTCGTGAGAAGCTAGCTGTCTGCCTGTCTGTTTTCGACATAGAACTTTGCACATATGTGCGGCAGTTCAAGTCGCCATACTCCATGTAGCACACAAAGCAAGAGAAGAAAGTACAAGAAAAGCATAATAGAGACAGTAAGCAGAGGTGTGAGACAAAGAAGAGTAATAACGAAGAACAAAATAGTTTCATTGGAAATCATAAGTCACAAGGAGTGGATGCATCTGCACCACTGAGAACGATTTTGAGCCATGTCACCAATTGTTTCCAACCATAGATTTTTACCGTCCCGAGGACCCCAGTCAGGAAGTCTACACCTTCCTACGTGGCTTAGACCAACTGTTGTGGATTTCATTGACTGGTGCCAAGTTTTTGTTTGACCGCCGCTAGCTTTTTTCCAGCCTGACCCTATATCCGCTAACATTGCTCGTCGAGGGAGGCGATGGCTTGGCATACGTAACACATGTCCTAACCATCTCAGTCTTTGTAACTTCACGACTTCGTCGATTGATTTCCCCTGTTTACCTAGAACTCGACGCCTAACCTCAATGTTGCTCACCTTATTATGCCACTTTACACGGGAAATAGAACGCAGGCACCTATGATCAAAGACAGCTAGTCTTTTCATGTCTTCCACTCTCAGTGGCCAGGTCTCACAGCCATAAAGGAGGACGGAGCGGACTGATGAGCAGTACACCCGCCCTTTGGTCGATAGTCGAACATCTCGTCTACGCCAGAGTCGGCGTAAACTGGCAAATGCGAAACGAGCCCCTTGTATTCGTGCTGAGATTTCGTCAGAGATCAACCCGTTGGTGGCTGATGGTACTTCCCAAATAAGTGAAGCGGTCAACGTGCTCTACCACTTCACTTCCTATTTTTAAACTAGGCGTCGATGTAGTCCAGTCCTGTAACATCATCTTGCATTTGGCGGGAGCGAATCGCATGCCAAACATTCGTAGATTGCAGCTCAAGGTGTTTAGAAGACTCTGCATTTTTTCAGCGTCTTCGCCTAGAAGGACTATATCGTCTGCATATTCCAAGTCAACGAGATTATTCCCTGGTAGCAAGTCAATCCCTGAGTCGCTGAAGTCACCTAGGGTTAAGTCCATTAACACATCTATGATGAAGTTGAATAGAAAAGGGGATAATGGGCATCCTTGACGGACACCACTGGTCGTCATCAGTTCAGATGACAGCTCGCCGTAAGCCCTCACCTGGCTGTATGAGTACGAGTAGAGTGCCTTAATCAGTGCAATATATTTTCTCGGAATTCCCTTTACAGCCAAGCATCTCCAGAGAACTTCTCGATCGACAGAGTCGAATGCTGCCTTTAGGTCAAGAAATATAATGACTGTTGGACGCCGGTAGGAATGCCTATGTTCTAGAATCTGTCGGAGGGTGAAGATATGATCAATACACCCTCTTCCTGGTCTAAAGCCTGCCTGGCTCTCTCGTGTTTGTGCCTCCCGAGCACCACTCAGTCTACGCATGATTATTGAGCCTAAGACTTTAGATACTATATTAGTCAAGCTAATCCCTCTGTGATTATCACAGGAAGACTTGTCTCCCTTCTTGTATATGGGGATAATCAGTGACTTACACCAACCCGATGGGACTTCTTCTGATTCCCAGACGCTGCCTAGTACCTCAGTTAATGCAGACAGTAAGCTGTCTCCACCGTACTTAAATACCTCTGGAGTCATTCCATCAGGTCCCGCTGCTTTGCCTAGTTTCAGATTGGTGACAGCTTTAGTAACCTCAGTTAGGGACGGAGGACCTGTGTCTATATCCCATTCAGGGAGGTGTTGGATGTTCGTCAGGTTGAGCGTGGCTGTGGGCCAATTAAACTGCTCCTCATAATGCTCTTTCCAACGATCCAGTCGTCTATCCTGGGAGCTAATTATAGTGCCATTTTTTTCCGAGATTGTTTCACTTATGATTTGTCTTCTCCCACCCGTTTCCCTGATGAGTCTAAAGAGTTGCCTGGTGTTGCCTATCCTCGAAGCTTTCTCCATCTCTTTGGCTTTTGTCACCCACCACTGTTCACGGTCCTTGCGGAGACTTTTCGTAAGTTTCCTCTTGTGCAGCTTTCGCTCCTCATTGAATTCGGAGCTCGCCGGAATAAGTCTTCTAGCATCTATCAGTTCGGATGAGGCGGTGGAGATCCAGTGGTTTTTACTCACCTTTGGGTTTACCTTATTCACAGCTTTTACAGCTGTATCTATGGCTGCCTGGATATTTTTCCAAGCTTCTTCAGGGTGAGCACAGCTGTCGAACACAGATATGTGTTTAGCTAGTTCTTCCTCAAATACGGATTTAGTTTCCTGATCGAGCTGGGGACGTGATGGTTTTACCGCCAGCTGTTTCCTACGTCCGTTCAGTCGTAAGCACACCCGAGCGCGGTGCGTGATCGGTATCTACACGTGTTCCAGAAGGAGCGACAATCTCCTACCGACCCACGCCAACGATAGCTTATTGCTATGTGGTCTATTTGTGTCCAGCGTTGGTTTGATGAAGGGGGTCTCCAAGTCAAACAGTGTCTCTCCTTGTGTTTGAAGTTAGTGCTTACAAGAAACAAATGATTATCAGAACAGAACTGTAGGAGACGGTCACCGTTGTCGGTTCGCTGGCACGGACTCCATAGGTGCCACCGACATCCTTCTCAGATTGACACAATTTCCCTACTTGAGCGTTAAAGTCACCAGCTAGAACGACTATGTCTGAGCGTTTAGCCTTTCACACCAAACTAGACAGCTTTTGGTAGAACTCATCCTTCGTTTCATCTGAACTGCAGTCAGTGGGGGCGTAGGCGGAGATTACGAAAAGGCATCGGCGAGTAGTGCAGTCCTTTCTCCTTTTTACTGATCCGTTCAGGCGGACAGCACACATTCGGCTATCTACCGGGATCCAGTCAAGCAATGTCTTTTCTGCCCTAGTACTCAAAGCTATCCCTACGCCAGCTAATCCTCGTGAACTAGCTGTGGCATCTCCTGACACCCTCAAGGTGAATTTTGCAGATTCAACCTGTTGGCCAGGTGGGGTTAGGTGAATAACCACACTTGGGTCTTGTATGCGTGTTTCTGAAACACAGCATACATCAATGGCTCGTGATGCCAGGGTCTTGGCTAGTGATGCTTGTTGTCCTATTTGGCAAAGTGTCCTAACATTAAAGCTCCTATATGAAATTGGTGGCGTGGCTTTAGGAGACTGTCGGTGGTGGTTTTTTGGCTTCCGTAGTTTTTAGTGGACACAGAGTGAAGAGGAAGTGAAGAGCTATCAAGTACAGGAGTTGCATCAGTGGAAGAAGGCAAGATAGTAGAGATGAAGATGAAAACAAAGATGAGTGAGTATTAGAGAGGTTTCGTGTGCATGTCGGAGCTAGCTACATTACGCTTATGGTCAATCAAGTTCTGATATATATCCATATAATATGTGTGTTTTGTTTGACAGTCTGTATATTTGCTATGTATATATGGATCGATATTCCATTATAATTAGCCAATCATGTTAAGACTGTCTATTGATTTGTTCATTTTGAATATTCGCTCACACACCTGTGTTCACACACTTGTTCGGACATTCTCATATTTTGCTCTCACACTCTTGTGTGACATTTTGATTCTCCTTGTGTTTGGAAAATAGAAGTATCATCGCAAACCTAGTGGTCTTCTGATTTCCGTCTTTCTTGCGTCAGGACTATTAAATTCTCGACCAGTACATAACAAGTTCATCGTCGAATTTCTGAACACCTCCCATCTTGGTTTGGCAATGGTCCGAATAAACCTATACGTAGCTCAGTACTAGTTCATCTCTCCGATACTGGACACCGAGTTGACGCCAGCAAAGCTTTTAAGGTTATTTATCATATTTCACTCAAACTTTCGCATCGCCTACAGCTATGACTTCTACGTACAGCAGAGACAATAGGAATACATGTGAATGAGCCAAGTCTGTGTATTCAGAAGAAATTTGTACAGCTCCTGTCTTTGCCGCATCCAACTACCTAATATGTATTAAGTTCAAGAGACGATTTTCCCCTCCCCTAGTAACCATCTTTTGACTTTGTTATTTTATGATGTTTACAATTCTATCTAATTCAGTTAAAACAATTAGTCCCTTTTATAAATTTTGATAGCGTAATTAGA